GGAAATGGTCTTATCTTGACTTTGGAAAATCTTCTCTTACAAGACTGCAGGAATGAAAGACCATTGTGTAACATTAGCCAGTGTATCCACATTAATACCTATGTGCAATACATTACGCTGGTCCTGCAGTCATTTACATACAATTCATAACATCTAACATTTCCAATTTTTAGCAGAAACAGGTTTTGTATTTTTTCCTATAATAGAACTCTTTTTTCCCCCTGTAAAACTGGAATAATGATCAGCACAAAGCGGCCTGCAAGAAAAAAAAACACAAAAAATAGTGTAAGGGAGGGGGGAGCTATTAACTAATTTCAGCAGCCATGCCAATTACTGTAAAATCACTGAAGTATGTAGACAGTTCATTATAGGATTATATAAAAACACTTAGTATCGAACAGACTCATATCATTTCATCTCACAGTTAACTCTTAGCTTTTAAGTGCAGAACTCTATTCATGTATGGCCCGTGTGAATCAATAGTTCTACCCAGAACATTTGCTGTAGAAGTACACTTGTATTTCTTTCTTATGCATTTATATACTCTGCATGTATAAAATATTAGGCACCTCTTCCGTGTCTTTTGTGGAACTACTGTAGGTACAATTGCGCATTGAGCCCACAATGCAGGATAAGGCCTGTTGTTACAGCACTACTTACACCCACCGTAGGTAGCTGGGGTTGCTGCATGTTAGCCTTGTGTGCAGATGGGCTTTCAATAACCCCTTTTTGCTACATTTTAGCACACAGGAGGAGTGTGTGAAGGCCTCCATTTCAGAGAATAAGTGACATTGTGTGTCACCATACCCAGCTAAATCTATTGTCATGTGATGCAGTAGATCCAAAGTCTTTTTTCTTCTGGACTACAAAGTAGGAGAGACCTCCTTTCCGTGTTGTCATCACTGCCTGGTGACTTGGACTCTTCCAATGGGCTGTCCATTGTTGGGGTCCACATAAGTCCTGCAAGTTCAGTAGCGGCATGATGATGTAATGGCAATCCTGTATCATCATTCTTCACTATTGAAAGACAAAACAGGTCTCTGTAGGGCTTTTCTTTTATTATATGAGTGGAGGGGGGGAGGGCTTCATTAGGGGGCTGGCTGTAAGAACCAGGAAGAGACAGCCCTGTACCAATGATGAAGAAAAGTAAGAAAATGAAGATGGCGGCACTGGATAGTATGTGTAGCATAAGAATGACAGCGGAAAGGATAACACATAATTCTCTGGGCTTGTGAGTATGTTTATCTTGGGTGCTCTTTAATACCCTCCCAACAATTAAAATTAACCTGCTAGACCCTTATAATATTCTTAGCATGCAAACTTTACCCCTTACCCCTGACCTTGACTCTAACACAAACCAAGCCTCTAAACTAATCTCTAATACTAAAGTAACCTCTGCATGACTGGTACTAAAGCCCAACAGTCTCTCAACAAAAACTTACAGAGCTAAAATGCCCGTTGACCTGATCTGCTAATAAGAATAAGAATTTGTGTGCGCCTTGTTTCTTCTTGTAGAAATACCTGTAGATTTCATGTACACAGGCTTTTGTTTGTGTCTGAGCTACTTTTCTTCCCAAGTCAATGTTAAAGCGGAAGGAAAGTGAAGTAAAAAAACTATGACAGCATATGAGCACATTATGGCAGACTTAGCTGCCAAAGCTTCCATCTTCATTCTGGTCTTCTTCTGGGTTCCGATTCCTCGCCCGCTTAACTGGCCAGGCCCCAAAGATGTAGCTCCCATGCAAGTTGGGAAGCTGTGTAGGGAAGGATTAAAATCCCTGCCAGTTTATTTTTTTACTGTCTGGAGATGCAGCAGAAAGTGAGAGACAATCTCTAGAGTGAGGTGAATTCCCCTCTTAGACAGTTGTCAGCAGGTATCCTCATTGGAAGATGTACCTTCACCTGTTCTGATGACAGCTTTAACATTTTGGATTTCCCATCACTTCCTCTCAGCGACAATAGTCATCAGGACAAATAGAGAGGAAGAAACTACATAGTGGGGACACAATAAAAACTTGACAGGGGTTCTAACTTTTCTCCACTTTATCCAAAACTAAAAAAATGGAAAAAGTTTTGGTATACAATTTTGTGCTAAGGCAACTAGAAGCTGCTTGATGTTCACAAGAAGCTTGAAGCCACTTCTTGAGCAACTGGAATGCAAATCCCAGAAACTCAGACATGGAATTTAAAGCGTTCGAGAAGCACCTGAACGCACACTGCATTTGACTTACTTCTTAGTCAGCAGCCCGTCTACACAAGCTTACTGAAGTTAAACCCAATTTACATTTTGCTGCGCTGTTGTGTTGTCTCTGGGCCACTGACATCAGGAAGTCAATGTATCATAAGCTATCTTCTATATTGATGTGCTACTTGCTCACATCATTTTCTGTCTTTCCTATCTTGCTGTATGCAACTGAAGCATCAGAAATACTTATAACTGAAATTCCCTTAAAGTAAATTATATAAAAAATCTTTATCATTATTCTTATTATTATTCATAAATATCTGGTAAATATGTGTAGCTCTTCTTTTTTATTAAACCCTTGGTGCCCACTATCTGTTTAATAATGTTCCCAAACATGATGTCGCATGCCAATTATATATTTAAGAAGAACTTCAGGCGAAACTTTTATTAACCCTTGCAGTGGGGCTACGCCCGCACTGCAAGGGTTAATTTCTTGCTTTTGTCTAGGTGCTGAAAAAAAAGAAAAGGGTTACGCTCACTCGAATCCCTGCTTCTCCGGTCACTGAAGCCTCTCTCCTCTTATGCTGCAGCAATGGACTGTTCCTCACGTCTATACACTGTGTACAGACAAAAACGAGCAGTTAACCCTTGCAGTGCGGGGTAGCCTCACTGCAAGGGTTAATAAAAGTTTTGCCTGTAGTCCTTCTTTAATAAACATCCTCCCTCCTAGGAGCAAGCAGCTGCCCGCTCCCAATCCTGGCTGGCCTAATCAGATTGGTTCCCGATCGTGTTACCAATATGTCAGCTCTGACAAAGTAATCACATGGAGGCTGGATGCTTCATTGACAAAAAAAATAATGAAAGTCTACAGCCTTCAGATGAACACCGCCACCTCCAGGCTGCAGTGTTCGTATGCAGCGCCATCTTCTAACAGTGTCAGGCTTACTTGAACTATTGGAAAAAATATGAATTAAAATATCTAGGCATCAATGACCCCTGGCCAGGAAACGGCTATAGAGCTTAACAGGACTACACATATTTTTGTGAACTATAAGAGGACCCCGTACCTATTTAAAAATGTATGAAAACTCTCCATAAACATTGCAAATATCCAACAAAATGAGCAGATGCTGATTTTTACCAAATAAAAAGAGCAATCTCTAACATACTGCATATGTTATAATAAAACGATTTCAATCATTTTAAATTAATTTCTTTTACTATACCATAACCCCGATTCCCAAAAAGTTGGGATGCTGTGTAAAATCTTCATAAAAATAGAATGCAATGATTTGCAAATCTCATAAACCCGTATTTTATTCACAATATAAAAAAGAAAATATATCAAATGTTTAAACTGAGAACATTTATGTATTTTAGGAGAAAAATAAGGCCCTTTTGAAATTGACCTCTCAAAAAAGTTGGGACAGGGACATGTTTACCACGGTGTAGCCTCCCCTCTTCTTTTAACAACACTCTGTTAACGTCTGGGAACTGAGGAGACCAGTTGCTGGAGTCAGGGCCGGCCTTAGGCCTTTAGGCGCCCTGTGCGAGAAAGCTTTACAGCGCCCCTCAGTGGCCACACCCTTTAGTGGCCACGCCCCCGTATTAAGGCCGGCCCTGGCTGGAGTTTTGGGAGAGGAATGTTGTCTCATTCTTGCCGATACAGGATTCTAACTGCTTAACATTCCTGGGTCTTCTTTGTCATATTTTTCCTTTCAAGATGCACCAAACATTTGGAATTGGTGAAAGGTCTGGACTGCAGGCAGGCCAGTACAGCACCTGGACTCTTCTACTATGAAGCCATGCTGTTGTCATAGATGCAGTATGCGGTATAGCATTGTCCTGCTGAAATATACAAGGCCTTCCCTGAAAAAGATGTGTCTGGATGGGAGCATATGCTGCTCTATAAAACCTGGATAGATCTTTAGGCATTGATGGTGCCTTTCCAGATGTGCAAGCTGCCCATTCCATACGCACTAATGCACCCCCATACCATCAAAGATACAGGCTTTAGAACTGAACACTGATAACAAGGATAAAAAGCAGGAAGCTCTCTAACCCTCTTTAGTCCGGAGGACACGGCACCCATGGTTGCCAAAAAGAAGGTCAAATTTCGATTCGTCTGACCCCAGAACAGTTTTCCACTTTGTGACAGACCATTTTAAATGAGCTTTGGCCCAGAGAAGACAGTGGCGTTTCTGGATCATGTTCAGATATGGATTCTTCTTTGCATGATAGAGCTTTAACTTGCATTTTTGGATGGCACGCCGAACTGTGTTTACAGTCAGGGATTTTTGGAAGTATTCCTAAAGCCCATGCAGCGATGTCCATCACAGAATCATGCCTGTTTTTAATGAAGTGACGTCTGAGGGCCCGAAGATCACGGGTATACAGTATTGCTTTTTGATCTTGTCCCTTGCGCACAGAGATTTCTCCAAATTCTCTGAATCTTTATATTTACAGTCTTTGCAATTTTACATTGAGGAACATTATTCTTATTCTTATTGTTTGACAATTTTTAGATGCAGCTTTTCACAGATTGGTGAACCTCTGTTCATCTTTACTTCTGAGACACTCTGACTCACTAAGATGCTCTTTTTATCAGATTTGCAAATCATTGTGTCCTGTTTTTATGTAGATTTTACACATCGTTCCAACGTTTTTGGAATTGAGGTTGTAGAACTTACTTTTAAACAGAAGGCTGTATTAACAGTTGAAAGTATTATGGAGATCCTGAAACAGATACATTTGATGGGGTTGTTAAGTTACTTCACTGCAAGCCATAATTACTTTCTGAAGAGCAAAGATTGCTTTAGGAAGCTGTAACAGTGTCCTCCGGGGTGGTTTTGGTAGAACGGAAGCGCACAATGGCAAGAACGGACAATAGAGCCTGAATGAAAAAAAATAAAACTGAAACAGCAGCTTATTTAGAGAACAACTATTGTAGTCCCGAAAACATTAGTATGGAAGGGTTCAAATAAAAGGGGGGGGGGGGGGATCTCAGAGAAAAGAACATACAAAATAAAATAAACCTACTTTTAAATCAGTAGTCTATAAATAATAATAAAAAAAATCTAAGAATTACAAGACAGTACATAAAAGACATAATATGGACATTGTGGTCTATGTCTTTTTAATACTTTTTTAATATATTACTGATTAAAAACTAGGTTTATTGTATTTATGTATTGTGCTTCAAGATCTACCCTTTTTTTCTATATCTCCATAGTGAGTTTTGAGTTAGCTCCCAGTTTCCTTCCTTCTTTTTGTAGTAGCTGGTTTATGTAGTAAACTATTCATCAAGGGATAAATGTATGTCAGGAAATATACCTACATATAACAACACCTATCTTCATTCCATATCTTTCCACATTTCCACTTATTGTCCTTCCTGCATATGGGTTCTTGCACCACCTGCTTCTTTGTGCTGGCCAATCAATGATGTCTGTGCCAAATCACATGCATGCACTGTACGAGATCTGATGCTGTTTATAAATCTGTATATGTTGCTATGGTTGCAAAAAAAACCAAAACAGATTTTTCCAAGATTTTATGAGAGTATGTGAAATCTAGCGAGATCTCGTAATTTGCCTAGAGATTTCCCTAGATTGCACTGGTGACATAGCCTATCCAGGGGGCATCTCTGAGGCCAGAGCTTTGTCACCAGTGCTTTGAGAAACTAGGAAGTGGATTTTTTTTGTTTTTCATAAACAAAATCCTATATTATTTTTTGATGCCTGTATCTCATTGGGGAGATTTCCCTGTCCTAGATGAGAGGAAGTTTCACCAATGTAAGGGAAATTCCCTTAGACAGTTGTTACCTGAAGAAATGTCCCCACTGGGACCTCACTCTCTCTCTGGGTCTTGAAGTTGGTGAAAATGGTCACCAAGACAAATAGTTATGGTGAATCTATCCAGTGGGGACATGGACAGCAATTCAAACTTGACGGAGGCTCTAATCCTTCCCTACTCTCTCTAAAACAATAAAAAAACCAAAAAAATATATTATATATATTTACCCTTCAAGGGACACTGTGGTTTTGGGTCAATTTTACTTTATTACTTCTATGCTTCTACATTTTAAACTATGTTTTTATATTTGTTATTTGTTATTTATTATGTATACAATCTGTGTAAACATTTAATACATTATTATACAGGATTTATATAGCGCCAATAGTTTGCACAGCGCTTTAAAATATAATACATGACAAAGAATTCTCAGAGCCCTATCATACAAGCAGGCCATACATGACAACCTGAATACATGACGGCTTCCTAAACTAGGAAAATCTTGTAGGTTGAAGCCTGAACATTTTGCCATCATGCTAAGCTTAGAAATATCCTGCAGTGGGGTTGAACATAACTCACCCAGCACAGAGTGGAGAAGAAGGAGGCAGTTATGCTAGTGATGGCGCTTTCAGATCCCATTAGATAAATATAACGTGTAGTTATAGACCACTGATGAGTCATAAAGCAGAATCCAAAAAACCACAGGATGGTACAAAGAACTGGTAACAGAAAAATGATTAGTCCGCATACAAATATCTTTCATTCAAACTATGAAGTACAATGTTCCAAGCAGAAAGAAAATCTAATTAAGATCTAATTTCATTAACAGCTTGATTACCATCTAAAATCCATTACCTTATAAATTACGTATGCTAGTATAACACAAATGATCAAACATATTTGCATGATGAAAATGTTCTAAAAAACACTTTGAGATCAACAAGACAAGTGTGCATGGAAAATGACGCAGACAGCTAGGAACTTTGGGTAGTTTATCTAAAAGTACAAAGAGTTATTCTTCAATGAAAAGTATAGTGTGTTTTCAGTAACACCATGACATAGTAAGTCAGCGCTCTCAGATCAATTATCTAACAATTCTGAATTATTATTTCAGAACTGTGAGATATTTTAGAGGAATTAAAAGGTATTGCCTGGTGTAATGATGCGGACTAGTTGTCTTTGTTTATAGCTACACATTCCATAAAGAAAGCCTAAATATGAAAAAGTGAACGGGCCCAGTTTTCCTATGGCTACTAAAATACACAATCACTTGTATGTGGAAATCCTGCAGTTCCAGAGACAAGCTTTTAGAGATATGCCTTTTTAAGGTCAGGTGCAGCTTAACTCGTGCGGCTTAACCCAGGGCCGTAGCCAGCTCCTTTTTCGCCCGAGGCAAGAACAGAAAATTGTCCCTTCCCCAACAGGTGTGTGACGTCGTGGCATCATGTGATGTCATGCACCCCACCTCCAGGATGGCGGCATGCATGAGCAGAATGTGCAGGTGGCCGAATCCGAAATAGCTTAAAAATTTGTTGTGTTTGACGAAACTAATGAAAACATTTTTTGTTTCCATTCATTTCGTCCAAAACAAATGTTTAGTCTTTGCACATGTCCAATAATATTTGTGTGTGTATGTGTGTGGTGTTGTGTTTTTTTTTCTTTTATTATTTCTTTATCATTATTGTTGTTTTTTTACTGTTGGAGGGCTTTGGGGAAATATCGGACCCCTGTCATTTCCCTTTTAAAATAGAAAAAGTGTCCTCAATCTCTTTTTCTGCAGCCTCAGCACTGTATGAATCTCTCCATCCTGACCCGATCGACCAAGCACAGAGCTGCACAGGAGAAATGGATCGCTGGCAAAGCGGCTCTCTCTCTCCTCAGCACAAGGCAATTCTGGATGACAGCTCCCCCCTCTTCCCCCACGCTGGCAGCAACACTCCATTTCTCCTCGGATTCCCGCTGCCTCTGCCCTGACAGGTGGGAGAGAGCATCGGAGATCCGAGGAGAAGCTGCAGGCTGTGTTGCCCCTCTACTCCCTGCTGCACCGAGACTGAGCTGTGTTGGCCACCTGGCCCCCCTTTGCCATGGTGTCTTGTGCAAGCACACCCCAAAGGCTGGCCCTGGTTTGCCTCACTCGTCTCAACCTTCGTACGGCACTGGTTTACCCTTTACAGTTATCCTTTACAGAAAACCATCAAAGCAAAGAACAATGATTTGGGACTGCAAACCTGGAGGTGCCATAGCAATGACCATAAAAGCCGGCCACTCTATGCACATTACAGCACCCCACCATTTAGGGAATATGGTGCACCTGGAGGTGTCTGCAAAAGAAAATAAAAAATGACCTTGTGCTACTTGTTTGCTTTATGAGAATAGAATGTTTGTCCTAAAAAATAAGCCAATGCAAAAAAGCAGAATACTGCAAGTCTTAACATTTTGAATTTTGTTGTAGCTTTAGTGTAAATGATTATTATTTTAAAAGTGATATACAGCAGCTTACCACAGCAGATGATGTCAGAAATAAGGATGATCTTTTGCATCAAGTCACAGCAGATGGCCAGCCCAAGGACTTCAAGCAGGAGAAACAGTACACAAATCAAACAAGCCATAATGCCAATTGCAATTCCATATCTACAAGCCACAATGTTGTCATTCAGAATGCAGGTCAGTTTAGAGCAAGTAGGAACATTTTTAAATCCTCCAGAAAAAAGGGACGTAAAAGTGACAATAGAGAGGACCTATAAACCAGAAGATAAAAAGCGTAGAAATTCAGTTGCTGCGTGGAAGATACATATATGCACATATAGGAGAACAATGTTCATAAATAAACAATAGCCACTACACAGAAGGAAATCACTCCAAACCTGACAGTTCAGTATATATCACTTTGCAAATGCATTTTTTTACTAATCAAACTTGCAATATTCTAGCCACTTAACACCTGGACACTACATAAAGGGTCAGACTGGCCCATTGGAGAACCCAATTTATATCTGAGTCTCTTGTCCCATGCCTTTTTAGTGACACTCGCCGATGTGCATGCCATCCTGGACAGAATGATCTTCTGCCCAAGGGTGCCTGCATAGTTTTAGCTCTGATATCATTCTCACTCTCATTGATAACAAGTCTGGCATATTCTTACTCCCACTGACCACCAATGGTGCAACATTTTTATTTCCACTGACCATCGGTGCTGGGGCAATATTCCTCCAAATGTCCACCAACGTAATAGGCATTCCTCCCACTGACCAACAGTGTAAGTGGGCATTTTTTTCTCTGATCACGAGTGTAAGAAGCCATGCATTGCCTACTCCTGTAGTTTATAACTGTGTGATGTATATTACATACTTCAAATTGCTGCACCTCAAACACAATGTTGTATGTTACATACTCCTGACCACTGCACTCTATACACTATGTTGTATGTTACATAGGGGTCTATTCACGAAGCTGCCGAAGGATCTGGCCGTAGCTTCGGCCGATCCTTCGGCTAGCTTCGGCCCCAGGACCCCTTTGGTTCAGTAGAACCGAAGGGGTGCTGTACGGGCTATTCACAATAGCCCGTACAGCTCCCGATCATGGCCGAGCGGCTCAGCCGAGCCGAACTCATATGCATCGGCTCGGCCTGCTTCTGACAGCTGGGCGGAGCCAGCCGTGATCTTATGGCTGGCTCCGGCCACTTGCAGTGAGATCAGCGTCCCTGGTTACCTGCTAACCAGGGACACTGATCTCCAAACAGCAAACTCTCCCTAGCGCCCCGGGAGTCTCCCGCTCCCGGCCGCTAAGGAGAGAAACACTGCTGTGTCTTTTTTTCTTTATTCTGACACGAGCATGTCAGAATAGAAAAAAAAAAAGATTTTTCCCATTGAAAAGCATTGGGACATTACTATTGGCTATTTCAATTTGCAATAGCCAATAGTAAACTAGCATTGTACCCGCCCTCTGCTGCAGTTCCCCATCAGGTCCATCAGCAGAGGGCGGGAACAATGCTAGTTTACTATTGGCTATTGCAAATTGAAATAGCCAATAGTAATGTCCCAATGCTTTTCAATGGGAATTTTCTTTTTTTCTATTCTGACATCGCTCGTGTTACAATAAGCTGAGCATGTTCGGCCGACCCGAAGCCACACGAAGAAAGCCGATGTACGGCTGATTTCAGCCGATGTACGGCTGAAATTAGCAGTACCAGCCTGAAGTGAATAGCCGAACAGTGTTCGGCTCACTTCACTTCAGATCGGTCATTCACTCGGCTGCCCTCGGCAGCTTCGTGAATAGACCCCATAGTGTTCACTGCTGCACTGCCTAAGCTGCTCTGCATTGATGTATTCCTGACAACTCCACTCTGTAAGCTGTGCTATACCATACATACCCCTGACCAAAATGTTCATTACCTTCCTAGTTGCTAAGCATTCCCCAACTAATGATATTAACGTTTTTTAAGGCAGGCTCAAAATGTTAACGCTATGCTTATATACTGTGTGAAAAAAATGTATATGTAATGGAAGAGTTTCACTTATGCTCCATTAATGCGCCATTCACTGTTTGCCATTACCCACTAATGGAGCATTTTTTGGTAAGTTTTTAGAGAGTCATTAATCACAAAGGAAAATGAAGGAGGTAAGTGTAATGAGCACATTGCACTTACCTCCTGTTGCCCTTTTCACATACACTAAGTGGCCAGATTATTATGACCACCCCATCAGTACTTCGTTGGGCCACAAGATGACTCCACGAGAAGACTTTGTTGGGCCGCCTTATGACTCCACAAGATGTTGAAAGGTGATGCGAGGAATCTGACACTGCACTGTTGCCCTTCGGTTGTCTTGTACCAGTCTTGCCACTCTCCGTTCTGCCCTAACATTGACTAGTCGCTGACGGCCACAATTCGCACGTTCAGACCCAGATTTTCGGCTGACAGTCCAGTCTTAAAACACTTTCACAACAGCTTCTCTTGAACATTTAACTAATTCTGCTGTTTTGCTGATACTCACTCCATGGCTCCGAGCACCAACAATCATCCCATGTTCAAAGGCTGTTAAATCGCGCTGTTTACCCATATCTTCAGAAGAAAATCACTTCTACTGTCGTGGTAAATAACCTGCTTCCCTATTTATAATGGTCTGGCCCTCTAGCAACTTCAGCGCGAAATTATAGCTAATTATAGCTAATTTGCCTACAAACGTCAGGTGGTCATAATAATCTGACCACTCAGTGTATAATTCCTGGAGATTTCCTTTAAGCATTAGAAAATAACTAATACAAATATTATTTGTCTTTTCTGTAGTTCTTGAATGGAAGTTCAGATTGCTTACCCAAGCAATTATCCGTATTATAATGCGTGGTTTTAATATAGCGATTACTATCGGGTGGCTCTTGAGCTGATGCAAGGAAGGGAAACCCATCACTATTCAAGCCTTTTCTTTTCTGTGGAATCATGAAATAAAGTTAAAAAAAAAGGAAATGTGAAGGGAATATGCTTCTGTGATCACTTTTTAAAAAAAGAGGACCCTGGATAGTGTCTTACAGGAATAATACAGCAAAAAAAATAATATGAGCCTATGCTATGTATGATCTTTTTACTAATGTTTATTAGTAATGCTGCGTTCAGTATACATTCCATTTTTAATGCATATTTTTCTAGTTGCTTTTTTCTGGTCAACATAGACAACTAAATAAGAACTTAAAGCTCCACTAAAGTATCACACCTTTTTATTTATCTATTTAAAGTCCTGTACCCCACCATGTTATAATCTGGGAATACTTTTTGCTAGGAAAGCCTTAAAATAACTCTTTCGGTCAGTTAAAATGCTGCTTCTTCCCCTCACACTCCAATGTGCTAAGCTGGCAGAGCTGAGTAACAGCCACACCCCTCTGCCCAAGTGTCACAAGTGTCACTCACATGGATTTTAGTTGCAGAGATGAAGATAAGGGGTGTGTCAGATCGATTATGTTATTAAGCTAATTACTAGGAGCACTGGTTTTAACTCTGGTGACTATTGGACTGACTTATCTTATTTTGGCATTCTGCACAACTGTTGGCACAGTCTAGGTAGGACATTATAAATGGAAGCTGTTAATACAACGTCTCTTTGGCTGCATATGGCATCTATTCTGAGACTTTAAATGAGCTTTAGGAATATGTGCAATTTTAGACAAAGTACACTAATTCTTTTTGCCTCCCTCCCCTGACCTAAACAATCCTACCCTAACCCTCCGCATGTCTATACTTATCAAGTTCCAAGGGATGCTGGTCCACTCTTTGTTTACATCTAGCACTGCTTGTGTCTATATTCTGGCCGTGTCTGTCTACCGGCTGGGAGACGGTCCCATAGAATTCTATGGGGCTGTAATGTGCAGTTGCTGCCAGCAAAGGGAATATTTTAGTGCTGGATGTAAACAAGAAAAAAAAAAAAACCTGTCCCTGTTGGATTCTGATTAGTATGAATCTGCAGAGGGGGAGGGTGGGATTGTTTATGCTAGGGGTGGGGGCAAAAAGGATAAGTGCACTTTGCTTTAAAATGCACTTATCCTTTGACGGTAGACCCTGTGTTTTCCATGTTAAAAAAAAGCAGCACTTTTTTTTACTGGGGGCAAAAGATAAAACTGCAATATGTGGTTTTAAAAATAGAAGAAAATAGAAAAAAAAGATACAGTGGAGATAAGGTAAAGTCAGCTCAGTGCACGGAGGCCAATATACTCAATGAATGTCTTTTTTTGTGAGTGCAATAGGTTGTGGAGAGACGGGCTGCTTGAGAGGTCTGCGGGTATTAATATTATTATTATTATTATTGTTAAGAATTTTTTTATAGTGCCAACAGTTTGCACAGTGCTTAACATTATTAAGAGAGACAGTACATTTACCATTCAATTCGCGATAAGAGGCTTAGGAAGGCCCTGCTCGTGAGGGCTTACAAAAGAAAGGCAAGTGATACAAAAGGTAATAATTTTGTGGGAATGAGTTGATGAAGAAAGTAAAGGTTCAGTTGGAGGACAGAGTGAGAGACAGGTAGAGAGATTGCAGCCAGAAGCAGTTCTGCAGGCAAGCATTGGAGGAGGTGATGAGGGAGGTCTAGCAGGAGCAAAATGGACATTAGGGTGATATTGTGAGATGAGGTTGGTGATGTGGTTCGGAGCAAAGTTGTGATTGACTTTGTATGTAATTTTTAGTGTTTTAGTTTATTCCTTGGTCTACAGAAAGCCAGTGAAGGGATTGGCAGAGAGGGGGGACAGACACTAAGAGGATAGTTTGGTGGATGGGTTTGGCAGCAGCATTCATAATAAACTGAAGGGAAGGGGGGGGGGGTTAGGAGATAGCTGGAAAGATTGGGGTAGGGAGTTTCAGAGAATGGAAGGGGATCTGGAGAAGTCTTGGAGGTGAGCATGGGATGGGAGGTGATAAAGGAGCTAGTGAGCAGTATCTATAGTTTGTAGGAGGAGCAGAATAATATGGGGTCTTTTTTTGTGAAAGTATGGTTATACTTTATTAGAATTCATTTATTACTAAAATAAAATGGAATAGTCACAGCACAATGATTCAAACTGCACAATGAATGTAATGTCAAAGGCAGTGTTTCATTGCAGCACTATATCGCAAAATGAATCAAAAGGCTATAATGAAAATAAGATAATAAGGTCATCAATTTAAAGATTTAATTCTTTCTACGACAATACAAAATCCACTGATGAATGTTTACTAATCAATTAGCAAGAAAGTATTAATTGGTTACTTTAACCTAAGCTTATATTTCAGTGATGGGTAGAGGCTTATGGATACTTTACATCTTTTTAAAGTGCAATTCCAGCCAAAACAGTGGGGAAGGATTAGAACATCCATCAGATTTTGATTGCTGCCTGTGTACCCACTGAAATATTCCTGTTCCTGTTATTGGGTTAGTAAATGAAGGGATACAGTAATAAAAACACAATTTAGCAGAGTGGAGAAAACGAAAATAGCCGAACCATCTATAATTTTATGTCTGTGTTCTGCTTGATGAGATTTCCGTTCACTTTCTATTCCAGATAGTACTGAAGTACAACTTCCCCAACAATAACACACAAGCAAAACAAAAAACAGCAGAGGTTGTAACCCTCCCCAGTATACCCCCCAAAAATAAAAATAAACAGTTTTCCAATATTTGAACATAGTACTGAGTTCCACTTTGCAAAAGCCAGGTTTTAATGGGAAAAAGCTCTAAAGAAAACCAAAGATAGGGGGACTCTGTCAGGAAGTAAACCA